TGGTGGTGATAACTGCATAATGTGAATGTATCTAATGTCACAGAACTGTACACTTAAAACATGAGAGAGACAGATTCTGTTTTGTGTAATTTACCACAGCAAAAATAAATAAATAATTTCAAGCAAATCTGTCCTTTTACCTTCCTGTCTGTTGTTCTCTTCCAGTTTATCCAAAGGCAACCCCTGCATTGCAACATCTTTAGCAAAATCCTTTGGGATATGAAAGGAAGAAATGAAAGGTACTTGAAGATACTCAAGGTTATTAGTTGAATGAGCGAGTAAATGAACAAGCAAGCAACTGTGGCCTTGAAATTCAGACTCAAATCTCCATTTGCCACTTCTAGCAGACAGAGTCATGTAACAATTCAGTTGGTACAGCTGAATGCAAAAATGTGAGTCAAATGGCATACCTAAGGATGGCCAACACATAAAACAACATCACAAATTAATCACAGCCTTCTTTATCACTGAGCTCATAATGTGGCCTCGGAAGGCTTCTCTACTGGCAAATAGCTTTCTGTTCACATGTGTAACCTTAATCTTCATATTTAAGATTCTATTCAGTGCTAAGACAGCACGACTTTTTGAGTACTAGGTTTATGCAACATTGTTCCTCACCTTCCTTAGACACATCTCTTTTTTTCCCCTGCTAAAGCAGAAAAGGGTAAAGAGAAAATCAGTAAAAGAAAGTGAACCCCTGACAAGAGGTGTTAAGTTCCTAAGAAATAGTCAATGAGGGGTGCCTGGGTGGCTCAGTTAGTTGAGCATCCTACTTTGGCTTGGGTCATGATCTCACACCTCATGGTTCATGAGTTGGAGCCCGACAGAAGGCTCACTGCTATTAGTGCAGAGCCTGTTTTGAATCCTCTGTCCATCCCCCTCTCTCTGCCCCTCCCCTGCTCATGCTCTCTCTAAAATAAATAAAACATTAAAAATATAGCCAATGAGGGTAACAATACAGTAGAATACAGCATCTGGGAAATTGACATAAAGACTTCCTACAAATTAGTAAGAGGCATAGCATATAAATGTGTAAATCACAAAAGAATAAAGGCAATATATATGAAAAAATTTCTCCTTCAGTAATAACAAAAGAATGCTTCTTTTACCTATCAAAATGGCAACTTTTTTGTCTACTTTTAATGCCCTGTATTGGCAAAGCTGGGGAAAATACTACTTCTAATTCTGCTCATGATCTTGCTGAATAATGTATATTGATACAGACTTTCTAGAGGCAATTTAGAAATATTTCAAGAAGTGTGCATATCCTCTGAGTTAATAATTTTACATCCAGAAATTAATCCTAATGAAATGACCTGAAATATATACCAGAATGTAAATCACATGGTTGTTTATATTATCAAAAAATGGGGGGAAAAACTTAATGTCAAATGACAGGAACATGAACAAATAAATTATGGTACATATAGACAGTGAAATTCTACGAACCCATTAAAAGATTCTAGGGAAAAAAATTAATGGCATTGAAAAATATCCTTAATATTACTTAATGATAAAACAATATGGTGATATGTTATAAAACATATGAAGGCAACAGTTGTTGACTTCAGCTACAGAATTTCTTCTTTCCTTTTTCTCTTTGTATTTTCTACAATGAATTTTAAAGCTTTTGTTTTCTTGCTACTCATGTGTAAGGACTGGCACAAACAGGAAAAGGGACATCTCACTTTCTCACTCCCACTACTTTGGGTAGTGTAGAGAAATACATATGAATAAAAGCAGATAACGAATAAGCTTATAAATATGCGCTATCAGCCACAAACTCCTTTAGTTTCCTCACTACCGGCATGATCAAGACAATCCACATTGTAATCTTAGCACTCAATTAATGAAACAAAAATATGATACAAAGGCAAACTGCAGTTTGTACTCAAGACAAAAATGATAATGAACAGGATTTGCTCTGCAATCATATTTTACCTTAAGCATTCTATACAAAACAAGCTTTGAGTCCATATTAAATCTAATGGAATCCTGATGATCTTCCAAAGATCACTGATTTATTTCCAATTATATAATAATAACGAATTGATGCATCTGGGAAATTTTTAGATAATGGAATTCAAAGACCATTAATCATTAAATAAGGTCTACTCAAAAAAGAAACAAAGAAAACCAAGTCAAAGGCTAGGCATTTACTCAGGGACCAAGTACAGCACATAGTTATACTTTTTTTTACTGTGAATGTTTTACAAAGTTGATAAGTAAACAGTTTTAATCTCATTCCTTCCAGGAATGAACTTCAGTTTTCAAAATATTATACTGTGAAACTTTCTCCTTTAAAGGCTTGCTTAACGGACAATCTATAGACAACATTATGATTAGTGATCAAAATCTAATTAGATTACATGAGCAAAATATATTTATCATCAAATATTTTCAATATTATAAAGGTCAAGATGAGAATTTCATGTTATTATTTTTTAAAGACCCCTCAAAAAAACCACACAGAAGACCTCACAATAGTTTGAATGATATGTAATCATACCTCACTTTTTAAAAATGATGTTGTTACTGTTTCTTTACCTTTACCTAATAGTAAGTTAAGTCTCTGGTCTAGAATACTTTTTCCTTAGATCAGAGCAGAGCTTCTTTTTGATTACAGTATTTCTCTCAATGTTCAACATCTTAGTAATGAGTATTTTTTATTTTAATTTTATGGAAGAGTTTTTGTTTAATGTCTCAATACTATTCAAATCACAACTGTAGTATGGAAACCATTTCCCTTTGTAAGTGAAATTTAAGCAAAATTAAGGCCTGTTACTAATCAAACATAATTTAAGAATGCATTACTTAACATTCCTGAAAAGTTTAACATAGTGGAATGACAAATTCTTTTGCTTACGCTTTCTGACACAGTAGAATTTTGTAATGGAGGCTGCTGATAATTTCTAGCAGAAGTCAAGTCTGATGAACCTAACAAAATGAAGGAATCAATTTGAGTGATTTTAAAATCTGAACCTCTTCTTTTAAAAACTGTACAGGCATGATTCAAGAACTATCAACTCCACGTTAAAGCAAAACCTACACTGCAAGACACTTTTCATGCAAAAAAACTTAACTTAGTAATTAAAATAGATCCTGATTTAAGTTTTACAGTTGATATTTTGGAAAATAAGAGTACTGACAATCAAGTGAGATAAATATGTTTTAAAATATATCATTACACTGTTGGATCTGGACAAAGTATGGATAGAATCATTAGACAGGAATAAAATATGTACATGACATAAAAGCAAGCTTTATTAAGTCATACCCTCCCCCCACAAAGCAGCATGTTTTTTTGGTTTTGCACATATATTCATTAATTTGATCCTTACGATTATCAATGAAATGGACAAAGCATAGGTCTTCTTCATTTTCACTGAACTCCAGACAGGTCAAGTGAATTGAAATACGGAAGCCATCAAAAGGCAGAAGTTACCCTTCTGCATGTTATACATACCAAACTGAATAACACTATCTAAACAGAAGGTAGAGCATTTGGTAAAAAGCCCTATCAATGAACAATAAACACATCATAAGAGTTAAGTGTATCCACCACAGATATGAACAAGAACAATGTGCGAAAACCACAGAAAGAAAAAACACAATGGGAAATGTTTCATTCGTTCCACCTATTCGATATTATAGCATCCATTAGACTGGCTGTGTTAGCCATTTCCCCAGGGAAAGGAGTCAGCTTTCAAACATCTATACAAACGAGATGTTATCATCTTATGTTTGAGAATTTACACATTAAAAATCCTCTAAATTCTGAAACGCAAAAAAAAAAAAAAAAGAAATGAAATGAAAATAAAGACTAAAGATTTACAAAAGTGAGAACTATTCGGAATCACATACCACTTAATGTTCCTTTCAAGCTAGCCTCGGTTCTAACTGGAAGACGTTTATTTGCAGACAACGCTGGAGGAACACAGGGCAACTCATCTTTCAGCAAAGCCAAATAATCTCCCTGATTTGGAGGAACTACCTCACGAAGTCTCTTCGCTGGTATTTTAGCCCTTTTTTTCTTTTCCGGGCTAAACTCAGAGCCTTTCATATTTTGGTAACAAAACTAGTCCCACAGTTCTGAATAGAAGAATTTCTTCTAGGTCCGTAAAACTTCAGAACAAAATTTTCACCGCTTTGAGGACTTTGGGGAGAAGGAATGAGGGAGGAGTATGATAAACAAAATGTGAATTTCAAATGATTTTAAAGCACGCAATCATCAACCTTGAAATAAAACAATGTCTAAACAGACTATCCAAAAAGCTAGATATTTCAATTTGGTATTTAGTCCAGGATTCAAGAGGACAAAATCATATTTACCCATTAATCCCACTCAGTCCATTAATGCACACTCCAGTAAAGCTGAGAGTAGGGATGTCAAGAGAAAGGCCGCGTGAGCAACAATAACCATAACAGAGAGCACCCCCCAAACCTAGAACCGGCAGTGAAAATCCAAACAGATAAGAGTTAAAATGTGTTGAGAAGTAAGAGTTAAGCAAGTAAAACTGAAATGTTTTTTAAAAGTCACCCATATAAGAAGCTTACTAGCTTTCTTCCGCCAAAGAGTCTTACACACCCCTCCAGATGCACCCATCGGACACCTAAAACCACCCCTCCGCGTCAGCCGAACCCTCGGCAACCGCGCAGTCACAGGTATAATCTGACAAATTCAGTTGCCCGCGAGTCAACACCCATTTCCCTTTAAGCCGGCCCCTCCCCGAGACTCAACACGCATGCGCGTCAAGATAATCATCCAAAACGACCAACGAAAAAGCTGAAAGCTTTCAGGTGTTCTTCCATCCCTCTCCGGGTGGAAACAAACTCCCAGTGTAAGAGGCTTAAGAACGTGTGAATTTGGTCGTTTTTGTTTTTTTGTTTCTTTTAAGACAGTACATTGCCCCACGAGACTTAAACGTTGAGTAAAACTCGAAATTCTCATCGAAGGCCCGCACAGGTCCCGACCTAATTGAAAATACCACTCCTGTTGATTGGGGACTGTTTACAGTGTAGCTCCTGGAGACCGTTAGGGACGCGGGATTAAGTAAATTAGTTTTACAAAACCTCTCGACAGATTCGAGTTATTGTTGGCCTGAAGTCAGGAAAAAAGAGCACTGAGTACGCATACAACTGCAAAACTTAATCATCAGAGGAATTTTGAATTTACTGAGGATAGCGGCTTTTCCTCTAGAGTTCCTGCGTTATAACGAATCCGCGTCGAAAAGTCTAAGGGCTATTTGACATCGCCTCTCCCACGTGTTCTCTTCCATCCAGCGACTGCGGCGCCCGCCCTGACCCAGACCCTCCGCCCCTAGACTGGACTGGCAGCGCAGCCCCCCAGCCTCGCACTGGTGTCGGATGCGAGAGCCTGTGCTTAAGTATGGTCTCTTTTCTCTGCCCTTAGAATCCCAGGTTCCCAGGCGGGGTGGCGGCAGACTGCGCTCCGGAAAGGTGGAGGGGGTCTCTGGAGGAGGCCGCCGCGTGTACATAGGACTGTAGGGAGGGGTGGGTTGGGGGGGTTGCGGAGACTGCGTCCCCAGAGCAGGATCCTGGGGACCTTCGCGAGCCACTGGGGTGAGGGTCGGATTTGAGGCCCTGATCCACCCCCAGCCCGGGTTTGGGGAGTCAGTGTCTTGTTTTGGAACAGTGAGTTAGATTGTAAAGCATTCACGCGGTGACCTTGAGCTGACAGGCAAGAGACCCTCAACTGAAAAATCTCCTGTAGACAGTACCCACGGCCAGACACCCCTTATCTGATTTTCTAATTTTTGAGAACTTAAAATTTAGACGTTTCCTTTTAGGCTTTATTAAAGGTTTTAAAAAAGCGATTAATCAAAGCACAAAGTGTAATCTGCTGTAAAAGCTAAATAGCAGTGTTTCTTTATTTTTGCATCTCAGCTAATAGAAAACTCCCTAGAATTATGGAGCGTCTGGGTGGCTCAGTCAGTTAAGCCTGTGACTCTTGGTTTCAGCTCAGGTCATGATCTCACAGTTTGGTGGGTTGGATCCCCACATGGGGCTCTGCGTTGACAGCCCGCAGCCTGCCTGGGGTTCTCTCTTTCCCTCTATCTGCCCCTCCCCTGCTTGCTCTCTTTCTCCCACTGTCTCTCAAAACAAATTTTTAGAAAAATCCCTAGAATTAAAAGGGACCTTAAGGGCTCAGTTTTGGAGAACTTTTTAATTATTCTTAATAAGTTTCTGTAATTAATCATTATTTCTTATTTCAGTTACATTTCTTCATCAGTGAGCTCTTAGGTACCTGTTTGTTCACGATTTGTTTTACAATGTAGGTGAATTAAGATTGACAATGTCAGAGACTTTGAAGATGATTTAACTCCCTTATTTTCTAGGCGAAGCTTAGTTACAGAAAAGATGACCTTTCCCCTGTAGTCTCCAAGGCATGGCCATAGGCACAGAAACTTATTAAAATGACTTGTATAAATGATTTGATTACAGGCCCTTTCATATCAGTCCTGAAAACCAAGTAGTCTTGCCCCCATCTAGTCTAGTGCTCAGGGGCTTATCCTTCAGGCCTGGAAGCCGTGCTTTAAACCCAAAAGCAGTAATCTTTCAAAAGTAATTTTTGCTCTGATTAATAATAAGTTGAGTTAGGATTGCCAGTTATTTGGACATAACTTCCTATGCCTTCTGCAATGTGGCAGAGTCCTGTCTTAGGTTGATCAGACAGGTTAGTTCAAATCAATTTAGACATCTGCCCTATCAAAGACACTGATAGCCCTGAAACAAAAATCCTGGCTCACAAGATTGTTTTCTTTCTTTCATTTCTTTTGTTTTGTTAACATCTTAATTTGCTCCCAACTTCCCACTGTCCTATTTCCATACATATCAATATAAATAGATACACTTTTTTTTCTGACTTGTTTGTAAGTAAGTTTCAGACATGATGACCTTTAACCCTGATTTCTTCACCATGTATCTCCTTAAGACAAGTATATTACAGGGGTGCCTGGGTGGCTCAATGGGTTAAGCCTCCAACCTCCAACTTCCGCCTCCATCCTCATCTTAACAGTTTATGGGTTCAAGTACCCCCTTAGGCTCTCTGGGTTTTGCTGTCAGCACAGGGCAAGCTCAATCTCTTACAAAACCATAAGAAGATTGTCACACCTAATAAGGTAACGTAATCAGATTTCTCCAGTTATCCCAAAAATAACTTTATTTTTAACTCAATTTTTTTTTAATTAGGGTCTTAAGTTCACAAATGGCTTAGTTGTCATGACTCTTCAGTCACTTGATCTAGAGCAGCCTTCTATTCCTTTTCTTTATGGTTTTAACTTTTTGAAGACTAGTCTGTCTTACAAATTGTCTCACATTGTGGATTTTCCTAATTTTTCTCTCATGATCAGAATCAGATCAAAGATTTTTGACAAGAATACCACATAGTTGATATGTGTCTTTACTGGTTATGGTGGTGACTGCCCGATCTTTCCAATATAAAGGGACCATTTTCCTTTGATGAAAGATAACCTGTGGAGATACTCTGAGACGATGGTTATATCCTGTTCTCCAAATACCTATCACCCAGTAGTTGTATCATCCATCATGACCCTCACTTGAATTACAAGATTACCAATTACCCAGTAACAGTCATGCAGAGACCAGGGTCAGTTATTGTGATAATGGCCAAGGACATCAGAAGAATCACTTATTGCAAACTAAGTTTGAACAGAATTAGAAATTTGGCTCCAGACCTGGTACAAATCTGCATAGGATTCCAAAAAGGAAATCGCGTCTCCCCTGTCACATCCTAGTTAGTTGTTTTTTTGTTTGTTTGCTTTTTAATATTCAAATTTTTCTGGGAATGGTATGTCCTGTGTTACCTAAATACACTACCTGGGAAGATAAAGATGTTCAGTACTTTTTAATACGTAGAATAACACATCTGCCAAGGAATTATAACCTCAGAATAGATTAAGAAAACTAATTTCACTTATTGAAAATGATTTAGCCATCAGAAGTTTACATTTCAGCAAATACGGCTTGAAGGGAGCTCAGCAGTCATATTGTGATCCCCTCATTTTTCAGGTAAGAAATCAGGCTTCATTGGAGACATTCAAGCAAAGGTTGGACAACTAATTTTCCAGAACAAAAAGGAAACTCATGCATCAGAAAAGGTTTGAATTGACTGACAAAATCTCTCTTTACTCTTTGGTTCCCTGGTTTTATTATATATATATTTTGTTTGACACAAAAATAACTTAGTGCTGTGATCATTCCCAAGACCTAAGCCAGAGATTCTAGAACTCTTATCCCTTCCTTCTCCAGGTTTCAGGGATATAACCATAAGGTAACCTCAGATTGGATAGCTGCCTCTACAATAACATTTGTAATAGCTGACAACTAGGACTAAATCAAAGGCAGCCTCATTATTTCTGCTGTTTTCAACATCAGGTGGTTTGTGTGGCTGTTGGACTTTGTTAATCAGTATAATTTAGGATTAAATCACTGGAAAACAGAATGCTCCACGACTTAGAAGACCCCAAATTAGCAAGTACATGTGAAAGTCACTCACTCAGTTATCTCCAATATTTTCTAGGAACAAGGACCTATAATTAACATGGATCAGTGACTACAGAGAAGAGCTTTGGAGTTTTAGGTGAACTTGAGAAAACTGTTAGCTCTTGAGTTCATTTGTAGGTCTGAGAAGACATTTGAAAAAATAAAATATATAATTGAATGATTCCAGAGAAAAGGAATTCAAGATGTTAACATAGGGGTATTGAGTAGTAGAACTATTTTTCTTTTCCAAATTCTCAAGAAACAGATTACTCATAATATGATAGAACTTTATTTAAAGGAGGATATATATACTATTAATGACTGTATTTTAAAAAGCAATACTGAGAAAATTTTTAAATAAAATTCATACCAAGAACATTTGGGGCACTCTTCATCTATGTGTTGTCAAAGGCTTCCCAGTAACAACCATCATTTGTCAATAATCAGCAGTGTTACCAGTCTCTGAAATGTAACATTTAAATATTTCAGACCTTCTGCCTCTCTGAACTCTAGTTAAAAAGGGATTAATATGAATTTTAACCTGAAGAAATAAAAGGCTAGGAGTAGGAAAAAGAACTGAATTTTGACATCACAGTCAGCAAACATGAAAATTTCTAAGGTTTTTATAAGTAAGGAAAACATCTGGTTCTGTTTTTGTGTGTAGAAACACCAATGTCTTGATGTACAGTGAGTATACTATACAGTGTAACAATTCAAAAGGCTCAGTCTCATTGATGTCCTTTTGTCATTTCAGCTAGAGGCCTATTGCTAAACCAAGCTCTGTAATGCATGTTTTATTGCTCTTGTTATTTTTTTAGGTTCCCATAAAACAGTGGCTTCATTTAACACCTATTTTCACAAAAGTTATCTAACCAGTTCTTGGATCTTTTCAGCTGTTTTCTGAGTGAGAAGCCCAAAAAACTCTAGTTCTGAATGTTTGCTAACATTACACTGCACACTGCATCTTGTTCTTTGGCAAAGATTAGACAGCTAAACAACCTCTTTTTTTATATTAAACTTTTAATTTTGAGATTATTGTAGATTCACTTGGAGTTATAGGGGAAAATGCAGAGTTCCCTTGCACGCTTTACCGACTTTTCCACAATGGTAACATACTACAGAATATCACATATAATATCACAACCTGGATATTGATGATATGGTCAAGATACAGAACATCTCCATTACAGAAGTCCTCATTTCGTCTTTTTATAGCAATACTTAATTCCCTCCTACCCCTATCTCCCCCTTAACCCCTGGCAACCACTAATATATTGTCTATTTCTGTAAGTTTGTCATTTTATGAATGTTATATACATATATATGTATGTAACACTTTGGGATTAACTTTTTTCACTCAGCATAATTCTCTAGAGATTCATCCTTTTTTTTTTTTAAACCCTGCCAATTGCAACGACATGGATGGACCTAGAGTGAATTATGCTAAGTGAAATAAGTCAGAGAAAGACAAAAGCCATATGATTTCACTTATGTGGAATTTAAGAAACCAGATAAACATAGGGAAGAGAGGAAAAAAAGAGGGAAACAAACCTTAGGAAACTCTTAACTGTAGAGAACAAACTGAGGGTTGCTGGAGAGGTGTTGTGTGGGAGGATCGGCCAAGTGGGGAATGGACATTAAGGAGGGCACCTGTTGTGATGGGTACTGGGTATTATATGTAAGTGATGATTATTTAGAATTCACCCTAAATTCTACTGAAAACAGTATTACAGTATATATTAACTAGAATTTAAATAAAATTTTGAAGAAAAAACTTACTCCTTATTGCTGAGTAATATTCTATGGCATTGGTGTACCGGTCTAACCATTCACCTACTGAAGAACATCTGGGTTGTTTCCAGTTCTTGACTGTTATAAATAAGGTTTCCATATACATTCATGTACAGGTTTTTGTGTGAATGTAAGTTTACATTTCTCTGTGATAAATGCCAAAGAATACAATTGCTGGGTCATATGGTAGTTGCATGTTTAATTTTCCAAGATACTTCCAAACTGTCCTGCAGTGACATTACAATTTTACATTACCATTAGGAATATCTGAGTGATCCAGTTTTTCCATGTACTCACCAGTATTTGGTGGTGTCACTATACATTTTAATAACTTGTTTTATTAAGTTTTTGATCCATCTTGAGTTCATTTTTATGTAACTCCTATATAAATGAGAGATTTTGAGGCTAAGATTTTTCCTGTGGATTTATAATTGTTCTAGTACCATTTGTTGAAAAGGCTATCCTTCAATTAATTGCTTTTGTTCCTTTACTAAAAATTAGTTAGGCATATTTATGTAACTCTAATTCTGGGTTCTCTGTTCTGTTCCATTGATCTGTGTCTACTCCTCCACCTGTACCACACTGCACTGATTACAGTAACTCTGTAAGTTGTCTTAGAACCATGCAGACTTCTTCCCATTTTATTCTTTTTTTGAATTTGTTTTAGCTATTTTAGTCCCTTTGGTGATGTAAATTTTAAAATAAATTTGTATTTACAGGAAATCTCACTGGGACCCTGACAGGAATTACATTAAGTCTGTATATTAAGTTTGAGTAAATGGACATCCTTTTTCATACTATGTTGAATCTTCCAAACCACGAATACAATATGTCTCTCCATTTATTCAGGTCTTTGGTTTTTTTCATCAGCATTTTATATTTTTCAGTATACAAGCCCTATACATGCTATGTTCAATTTACCCCTAAATTTTTAAGTTTTTTTTTTAAATTTTATTTATTTATTTTTTTGAGAGCTAGAAGAAAGTACACAAGTACAAGAGTGGGGGAGGGGCAGAGAGGAAGCAGAGGATCCCTCAGAGGATGTGCTGACAGCAGTGAGGGGCTTGCAGGGCTCAGAACTCATAAACAGTGGAGATCGTGACCTGAGCCATAGTTGGACACTTAACCCAACTAAGACACCCAGTCACCCCACTGCTAAGTTTTTTCCTGAGTGACTGTTAATGGTATTGTACTGTTTATTGTCTGCTTATTCATTGCAAGTATATAGGGATAGAATTGATATTTGCACTTATCTTGTATTTTGTGCCTTTGCTGAACTATTTTTAAGAGTGTCTTTACAGATCCCTTGGGATTTTCTATGTTCACAATTATGTCATCTGCAAAGAGAAACAATTTTACTTTCTTCCCTTACCATTTGTATGTTTTATTTCCTTTGATTGCTTTACTGCACCGGGTAGAACTTCCAACAGCATATTAAGAGTAGTAAGAGCAGATCTCATGCCCTGCTTACAATCTTAGGAGAAAATATTTAGTCTTTCACCATTAACTATAGAGTTTTTTGTAGATGCTCATTATGAAGTTGAAGAAGTTCTCTTTTCTTATTTCTCAAAGTTTTTTTTATCATGAATGGGTGTTGAATTTTTCAAATGCTGTTTCTGCATCAATTGATAAGATCTAGTGATTTTTCTCCAAATTCTGAAGCAGCCTTGCATATCTAGAGTAAACCCACTTATTCAAGGTGTATAATTCTTTTTCTATATTGCTGAATTACATTTGTTGTTATTTTGTCACAGATTTTTATGTGTATTTATGAGGATATTTTACTCTAATTTTATGTACTCTCTTTGGTTTTGGTATCAGGATAATACTAAATTCATAAGTAAGTTGTTAGATTTCTATACACGGAGTTATCTGTAGTGCTTTTACTGTTTTGATGTCTGCAGGGTCTATGGTAATATATCCAGTTTCATTCCTTATAATGATAATGTGATTTTTTTTTTATTAGTCTTGCTAGAGGTTTGTTTTAATCTTTGTTCAAAGAACCAGCTTACTGTTTCATTGATTTTTACCTGTTGCACTTGCTTTTATTAACTTCTGCTCTTCATTATTTTGCTTTTCTTTTTCTAGGTGATTGAAGCGAAAGTTTAGATTGTTGATCTGAGACCTTTACTCCTCTCTAGTGAATGTGTTTAGGTGCCAGTTTTCCTCGTGGCTGATTTAGCTGTGTCCCACAAATTCTGATGTGTTGTGTTTTGAGTTTCACTCAGTTCAATAATTTTTTTAAAATTTCCCTGAGACTTCTTCTTCGACCCATGTATTATTCGGAAGCAGTTTATTTTCCAGGGGCACCTTGTGGCTCAGTCAGTTGAGCATCTGACTCTTGATTTTGGCTCAGGTCATGATCTCACAGTTCGTGAGATTGAGCCCTACATTCAGCTCTGAACTCACAGCGTGGAGCCTGTTTGGGATTCCCTCCTTCCCCCCCTCCACATATTTCAAATGTTTGGAGGGTTCTTGTTACTAATTTCTAGTTTAATTCTTTGGGGTCAGGAACACATTCTATATGATTTCAATTCTTTTAAAATTCATTGAGGCAGCTTTTGTGGAACAGAATGTATGGTTTACCCTGGTCTGTGTTCTGTGGGTACTTGATAAAAATATGTATTCTGTGGTGTTGGGTAAACCATCCTATAAATGCAGACTGATTCCTTATTGGTTGATGGTGTTGTTTTTCTATATCCTTGTAAAATTTCTGTCCAGTTCTATTGAGTGTTGAAAGAGGGATGCTGAAGTCCCCACTAGATCGGTTTCCTTTCAGTTCCATTAGTTTACATTCTGTATATTTTGCAACTTCCTTGTTTGGTGTATACACATGTAGGACTGCTATGTTTTCTTGGTAGATTAATCTTAGTGTCCCTTTCTGTCTTGTAATTTACTTTGCTCTGACACCTACTATGTGTGATATTAACATATCCACTATTTTCTTTTGATCATTTGCTTGACAGATCTTTTTTCATCCTTTTTATATTCAATCATTATATTTGAAGTAAGTTTCTGATAACATATAGTTGGTCATGTTTTTTAATCCACTCTACCGATCTCTTTTAATTATTGCTTATATTTAATGTAGTTGTTTATTAGGGCTTAAATTTGCTATTTTATTTTTTGTTTTCTGTTCTGTTTTTCTTGCCCTTCTGTGGATAACTTGAGTATATTTTGGAATTTCATTTTGATTTATTTATAGTTTTTGAGTGTGTCTCCCTGTGTATCTTTTTTAGTGATTGCTCTAGGTACTACATGATACATACATAGCTTATCACAGTCTAATGGTGTCAATACCAGTTTCAGTAAAGTGTAGAAACTTTACCTTCCTTTACCTTCACCATTTATAATATACATTTAGAACCACATTAGACAATTTTACAATTTTTCTTCAACTGTCAAAAACACAATTTAGGAAACTCAAGGAGAGAAGGAAAGTGTATTGTACTTACTCATATTTGTTATTACTGTTTTTTCCCTCCTCCTTGATGTTCCAAGTCTCCTATTATCATTTCCTTTCTGTTGAGAACTTTAATCCTTCTTTTACGGTAGGTCAGCTGGCAACAAAGTTTAGTTTCTTTCAATTGGGAATGTCTTGATTTCCCCTTCATTCTTGAAGCATATTTTTGCTAGATACAGATTTCTACGTTGACTGATGTCATCCTAATTGTTTTCTCCTGTCCGTAAAATGTCACTTTTTCACTTGCTGCTTCCAAAAATTTTTGTCTTTAGTTTTTAGAGGTTTAGCTGTGATATATCTTGATGTAGACTTCTTTTGTGTTTATGCTCTTTCCTTTCATTTGCTTCTTGAATCTATCTGTTCAATTTATTTTGGTTATTTTTCACCTCTTGAAATTTTCATTGGGTTCTTCTAATGTCTTATTTGTTTCAAGCATATTCATAATTGTTTGTTGATATATTTTTTATAATAGTTTTAAATCTGTGTCAGATAATTCTAAGTCTGTCATCTCAGGGTTAGATACATATTAACTATCTTTTTTCATTCAGTTTGAGATTTTTTTTTTAGTTCTTGGTATGATGAGTGTTTTTTTATTGTAACCTGGACATTTTGCATATTGTATATTGAGGCTCCAGATACTGTTTAAACCTTCTCTTCTAGCTGGCTCCTTTTGACACTGGCCCATTAGCAGAAATAGGGGCAAGTGCCCCCTCATTAGTACTAGGTATAGAGTAGAAGTCAAGGTTTCTCACTCTGTCACTTAAGGTGTGTGTAGGGTAGTGTGCTCCTCATTACTGGTGGGGCAACTGTAGGGGTTAGGGCTCTTTAGTAGGCCTCCATTGGTATCACTCTGGCTTAGAGGAACTAGTGTGCCTCATTACTGCCCCCATGGTCTTTGCGGACAACCACAGGAGAGAATGTGGACTAATTAATTTTCACAGCCACTTTAGATAATAAGTGACAAGTCAGTAAGAATGATAAACACATTCAGTTTCAGGAATGCATTCAGTATCAGGAAACTCAAAGCTAAATAAAATGCATAGAAGTTCTTTTAGTCTAGAGTACATGATTAGTATTTGTTTATTCTTCCCTTTTCATACTGTTTATTTCTACTTTTAAAAAGCTTTATTTTAAATAAATCTTTCATATGATATGTTCACCTACAGTAGAACTAGCCAGGATAGAGTTAAGTAAATAATGTGATACGTTGTTATATCTGTATTAACTGAGCCTGGGCTCTCCATTTAGTGATGTGAAAATCCCAGTAATTCAGAAAAGCTTTTATGACTTACCTTCACTTCTCTGCTGCCCCCAAGTTAGATCATAAGTGTCACAGGTTCACAAGTTTCTAATAAATCTCTGTGATCACACTTTTTGAATTGCAGAATGTATATCTCTTGTACTTCCTTTAAGGTCTTTTTAGAAAAATGAATATCTTTCATTACTATTCATTACAATTAATAGAATCTTTGTATCTATGCATTTACCATCTCTATGGTAAATGATCATTGTTATTTTAGGTCAAATTACATTAGGAACCAGGGGAATAGTTAAACTTAAGTACTTGCAGAAGACACCAGACATCTCTTGGTTTCCCTTAAAACTACTAGGAATGAGGCTCTCGCAAGTGACCTTGCAAGGTAGCAAAACAAGCTGTCTTAAAACTGAAGATTTAAAAAAAAAAAAAAAACAACTGAAGATTTAGATGAACAGAGCCAATCATCAGCATTAAAAAAATCTAATTCTAGGGGCGCCTGGGTGGCTTAGTCGGTTAAGCGTCCGACTTTCGCTTAGGTCATGATCTCGCGGTTCGTGGGTTCGGGCCCCGCGTCAGGCTCTGTGCTGACTGCCAGCTCAGAGCCTGGAGCCTGTTTCGGAGTCTGTGACTCCCTCTCTCTCTCTGACCCTCCCCTGCTCACGCTGTCTCTCTCTCTCCTAGAAATAAATAAAAATATTAAAAAAAAAAAAAAATCTAATTCTAAACTATAGCATTCCTTGTTGCCATTAATAACCTTGGAGATGGGGGGCAGGGGGATGGATATAATTACATACTCCATTAGAAATTTATAAAATAATAAAAATAATTTCAGGTAAGCATTCTTTCATTTCTTTTCATAAACTGTTTTTGTTTTAATTACCAAACTCTTCAGCTAGCCAAAAATATTTGTTCACACACTAACTTTTCCTTAATTTTCAAATCAGGTGACTAATAAACATAGCAAAAGAATATGGCTGCACAAATACCAGAATCTGATCAGATAAAACAGGTAAGGTATTACAATTAATGAAAAAGAATTTTGCAAAAAATTTAAGTCACCTCTGAATGCAACCATGTCAGTCAATGATACTACAAAATAACTTCAAATTACATTTGCAAAAATGTATTTTAAATGATATGAAACATTTTTTTCCAGATAATTTGACAGATAATCCAGGAAAAAATAAATATTCAACTAGAAAATCTGTCGATATTTGTAGACCATACTACACAGGTCATACTATGCCCACCTGACTTAAAGAATTTTTACTTCAAGTATAACGGGGTATTTTGCCCAAATACAAAACATCAGTAATTAAAGTTTCAAAACATCTTTTTTTTTAAAAGCCAAATATTAAAGAATGCTCTGATTTGTTCATAGTTTAAAGAATTTCTTGGAACCTACAATAAACTTACAGAAACCTGTTTCTTGGACTGCGTTAAAGACTTCACAACAAGAGAAGTAAAACCTGAAGAGGTATGAAAAGTGCTGCTTTCTAAAAATTCTCTAAGCTTGTCATACACAATAGAAATGAGATCCTCCTAACCATTTCGCTTGTTCCAGTTATTACAGGAATCTGGGTTGCCTTTTATGTACCACTGCTCAGAGCAACTGAAGCAGTCGAGACCCATGGCATTGAGTTTAATGATCCCAAATGTAATATGACAGTCATACTGTACCATGGCAGATTTTGGTTTTTTTAGATAAGATGCTTGGGGCTTGCTAAATTGTTGTTCCATAGCACAGATTCTTACTAATTAGCATTCAGTCAAGATGGCCTGGCTAGAGAAACTTGACCCTGAGAACTCAGGTTAATTTTGGAAAAAACAGAGCTTAAGTTAGGTGGCTCATACTGCATAGGTGGACTCTGAAAACTTAATCCTCTCAGAAATCTTAACTTCTAATATGCTCATCAAAACATTTATATACTGGCTGAAAGGGCATACATTCATGCCAAGAACATATAACTAGCAATCAGTAAGTCCTTGTTAAATAAATGACAACGTTTGAAAAATGCTACTATTTTACTTAGTATAATATTAAGCTAATATAATACTCTTATTAGAAAGAAGTGTTAAAATTTAAGAATATTGGGAATGGAGTTTCTCATTAAAAAGGGACAAACTACGGGGCCTGTGTTTTAACAATCAGAATAAGATATGGAAAAGGCAGGGACATTAATCATTGTTTTTAGTGCTTACAAACTTGTAGGCATTCAGTATATATTAATATTTGTAAATGGATAAAACTATTAACAATTGGAAGCTACAGTCATTTGCTACTCAATACCATTTAGTTCTTGTATTTTCAAAGAAAAGCAAACCACCCACTGGTTGTTTATGTAAAAATACATGCATTTTTTAAAAAATTAATATTTCTGTGTTGCCTCTTGGATCCTGTCTTTTTGTTTCTAGACCACCTGTACAGAACATTGCTTACAGAAATATTTAAAAATGACACAGAGAATATCCATGAGATTTCAGGAATATCATATTCAGCAGAATGAAGCCCTGGCAGCCAAAGCAGGACTCCTCGGCCAACCACGATAGAGAAGTCCTGATGGCCGGACTTTAGATTAAACATTGCCAGCAGCTGTTGTGACGGAAAGAGGAGTCCTCTGACAGAGTCCCCCTGAAAGCAGTAGCCACCATGTTAACCTGTCATAACTGTTTGGCAAATGGAAAACAACTGGAGAAACAAAATTGCTTTTTACCGGGAATAATCAAAATAGAAGGTCTTATTCAATCAAAATAATAAGATGCAACATTTGTTGAGGCCTTAAGATTCAGCAGCTTGGTAACTTCATTAGAAAAATAAACCTTTGTTTCTTCAATTGTGACTGTTAATTTTAAAGCAAAATATGTGTTCAATCATGTATGAGATAGAAAAAAATTTTTTATTACTAAAAGTAAAATAAATGGAATATCACTGAGCAGTTGTTTATACTATATATGGTACCATAGTATTCTGACTGGACTGTGGATACGTTGAAGTGTTTTTCAAGCACGATCATCCTCCAAGTATTCCTGTTCATTCATGTCTGCCTCAAATTGCTGGTAAATACATAAAATAGTTACTTGCTCATCATTTCAATGCACGATCCTTTTCTTGCCTCCCTTTTTGTGTCAGGATGGGCACTACACATTCTTATCCTAACCATATTTTCATAGATCTTCAGGAAACATCCCATCTGAGATTACCTTGAGAATGTTTAAGAGTTGACTATTATGCTCTACTGAAGACTGTGTTTTGTGTTTTGTCCAAAAGCTGAGAGTCTAACAATATAGAGTGTATTCTCAGCCATGTCATGTGATCAGTGCAATAAAAAGTGAACTGAAGTTAAAGTAGTGCCTTAGGGCTAAATGAATCCTAAAACAAATCCAGACATCTGCAGGAAATTCTAGTTGATGCATAGGTATACCAAGCAGTTTGGAAAATGTACGTTGACTAATACCTACTAATAAACTGGCTTATGAATGGATTTCATTTGATACCAATCTAAACTTTTACTTAAGAAAATACTAATTATAACTAGCCTATGTGTTTACATTATCAAAGTAATTTCTCTTTTGTCATAGGATTTGAAGCCAGAAGTATTCTGCTTTGATAAACTAAGGTTTTCTGTATTACATCTAGTTTTGAAGCTATTACATCATATAACTAACAATACCATTTATTACAGGCCTCTTGACATTGCAGTCACTAATTGTGTCTTTGAAAGTACAAAGACTAAATATTAACGCTATCTTTAATGTTGAAACCTCTAGAAGACTCAACAAAATAAACAATTCATTATAGTTAAAAGAACATGAAAGAATATGCTTGTTTCCTCATAAGGCAAGAAAAGCAACCAAAAATTCAGAGATTTTACTCATTTAAAACCCTGGGCTATCCACACACAAACTGCTATTTTTATATACTCAAGCCTAACATGGTTCATTTAGCAAAGACAAGTGCGTACTCACCTGGCAAATAAGGGGAATTTTGTGCAACAGCATCTCAAATACCTTAGGAGGGAGTGTGTGTTGGAAAACCTTCAGAAGTTCCTGTGGTTGTCCACACACTAAAAGGGCATTGCTGAGATGTTCAACCCCCAGTTGATGCTCTCCTGAAACAGATTGATACGGTTTAAAGCAAAATTCTAACATTCTTCTAAATATATATATCCCACAAATTACCAAGAAAACACCAAGTATTAAAAAAGCATATCAAACTACAGACTATTTAAACAAGTCTTAAAGAATAAAGACTTGGGGCACCTGGGTGGCCCAGTCAGTTAAGCACCCAAATCCTGGTTTCAGCTCAGGTCATGATCTCATGATTTGTATGCTGAAACCCTTAGTCAGGCTTCACACTGGTAGTGTGGAGCCTGCTTGGGATTCTCCTTCCCTCTCTCTCTCCCCTTCTCCCTCTCATTCTCCCTGGCTGATGCTCTCTCTCAAAATAAACTTAAAAAAAAAAAAAAAGGTAAAGACTACAAATGGGACAAATGTTGAGCTGCCAATTAGATACACTGCGCTCAGAGGCGCCTGGGTGGCTCAGTAAGGTAAGCAGTGACTTTGGCTCAGGTCATGATCTCACAGTTCGTGGGTTTGAGCACTGTGTCGGGCTCTGCTGACAGAGAGCCTTGAGCTTGCTTCATTCTGTGTCTCCGTCTCTCTCTCTGCCCCTCCCCTGCTAACGCTCTGTTCCTCTCCAAAAAAAAAAAAAGAACATTAAAAAGAATTTAGATTCACTGTGATCAAGCTGCAAGATGAATAATTTTTTGACCCAAATTACTATTAAAAAGTGCATTCTTGGGAGTGTTGGGGTGGCTCAGTCAGTTAAGCGTCTGTCTTTGGCTCAAATCATGATCTTAAGGTTTGTGAGTTTGAGCCCTGCGTCGGGCTCTGTGCGTACAGTGCACAGCCCACTTTGGATCCTCTGTCCCACTCTCTGCCCTTCCCCTGTTTGCGCTCACTCTCAAAAATAAATATTTTTAAAAAGTGCACTCTTTCTTAGTTTGCATGTTGTGCAATATGGGTTTGCAAGAAGGGGGTGTTGAGTATTTTTTAAAGGTGGTCTGCTGTTACTGATAGAAGATAGTTATCTTTAACTCCACATGTGTGACTGATGAAATATAAATGAAACACCTGATGTTCTGGCTAAATGAGAATTCAGAAACAGATCCTGTTATCAAAGAGTTTGAAACAAGGTTTAGTGTAACATGAATTACATATATAGGGGAAGAAAAGAGATTTATGAACTTTGACTTCTAAGTTTTAAAATGAGTTTAAGGATGACTGGCTGTAAAGTAAGAATGAAAATTTATGCACTGTGGAAGTTAATCATACAATTTTTTAAAAATGTTTATTTTGGGGGCACCTGGGTGGCTCAGTTGGTTAAGCCTCCGACTTCAGCTCAGGTCATGATCTCATGGTTCGTGAGCTTGAATCCTGCATCAGGCTCTGGGCTAACAGCGCAGAGCCTGGAGCCTACTTTGGATTCTGTGTCTCGTTCTCTCTCTGGCTCTCCCCCACTTGTGCTCTGTCTCTGTCTCTCAAAAATAAATAAATGTAAAAAAATAATTTTTTTAATGTTTATTTTGAGAGAGAAAGTAGAGGAGGGGCAAGAAGAGAGGGAGAGAGAGAATCCCAAGGAGGCTCTGAGTAGCGTCAAGCCTGATGCAGGGTTCAAACTCACGAACCATGAGCTCATGAACTGAGCTAAAATCAAGAGTCAGATGCTTAACCAACTGAGCCACCCAGGCGCCCCAATCATGAAATTTGTTTGAGTGAAAACATGGAAACAGTCTTACTATTTCATTCTAAGAAACTGAGGCAAAAATCAGTGAAATGATTTAAAGTTTCACAACCAATTTAATACCAAAATCAGTAGTAGAACCTAATTTTCTGAACCTTCAGAATACAGTGTGTTTGCCTCTCAGGTGTTACATAACTTTGCATTTGTTGGTTGAAATACTTGGTCATCTGAAGATAAAAGTGCATGACAGAAAACAATGCTTCCCAGATTGTAATAAATTGAAAAACCATCAGAAGGACACACAAAGCAAACCTTGCCTATATTACATAAGTTTTAAGAGTTAAAGTTCTTGTGTCTAGACACCTAATTTTACATTTTCAACCCAAGAAACTTTCATTGCTGGGTTTTCAGTAACTTTGTAGGAATTTAATGAAGGTTAATGAAAGGTTTAAGTTAATAAAATTACAGCTTTATGGGCATGATACATGAAGTCAAAATACTTTGATCGTATTGAACCTTTTTTTAAAAAAAGATATAATAGTTCCTCCTCTCAAATTGATAGAGCTAATATGATACAAAAACAATTTCAAACAAAATTACTGGCTTTGTCATCCTATGTGGACACAACCACGATGAGATGGCTACAGGACTATACTACCCGACAGCAAAGGAATGAAAATTGGGAGTGGTGGCAGAAGGAAGTGGAGAAAATGGAAAAGATTCTAGAAAACTAGGTGAAAAATTATTGCATTAAAAAACTGGTCCTCAGTGTACTTTCATAATGTAGGGACATTTAAAAAATATGGATGCCTGGGTCTTGCCCCAGAAATTCTCATGTAATTGGTGTAGGGTAGGGGCGCCAGGGTGGCTCAGTCAGTTAAGCATCCGACTTTGGATCAGGTCATGATCTCACGGTTCGTGAGTTCGAGACTACATCTGGCTCTGTGCTGACAGCTCAGAGCCTGGAGCCTGCTTCGGATTCTGTGTCTCCCTCTCTCTCTGACCCTTCCCTGCTCACTCACTCACTCAGAAATTTAAAAAAAAAAAATTTTTTTTTAATTTTTAAAAAAATTGGTGTGGGGTTTGGTGGGATTTTAAATAAGCAACCAAGATGAGAACTCCATTAGAAGTAAAATATGGACATACAGAACACTTAAATAACCAATTTAGGGATTTAGAGAAATAGTGTTATCCTTAAGAAATTTTTTTTTCCTTTTTTAAAAAGATATTTTATTCTTTTTTTTTTTACAAATAGTTTATTGTCAAATTGGTTTCCATATAAGAGATAAAAAAATTTTTAATGTTTATTTATTTTTGAGAGACAGAGAGAGACTGAGCATGAGCAGGGGAGGGGCAGAGAGAGAAAGGGGGACACAGAATCTGAAACAGGATCCAGGCTGCAAGTGGTCAGCACAGAGCCCTATGCAGGGCTCGAACCCACGAACTGTGAGATCACGACCTGAGCCAAAGTCAGACGCTCAACCTACTGAGCCACCCAGGCACCCCAAAGAGATAAAATTTTTAAAACCTAAGTTTGCAATTTTTATCTTAATCATCTCAATATTTGTAACATAGTCACCTCTATGACATGAAGGCTCAAGTGAATAAAGATGTGTCATAAAATAACTTTAGTTTATAATTCCTTCTTTTCTCTCCATATTTGTACTATCCCAATTCAAAAAATGTTAAAACTGAAAGGTTCTATTTTAATTATCCCCATGTACAAGCATTATCCACATCTAAAAATTAATCAAGATTTTGTGAGGCCCCTAGCTTATATACTTTGAGGCCCTTTTCTTTTAAAAGATTTTATTTTTTTAAGTAATCTCTACCCCCGCAGTGGGGCTCAAACTCATGACCCTGAGATCAAAAGTCACATGCTCTACTGAATGAGCCTGATAGGCACCCCTGGGGAGCCCTTTTAAGAAAAAGAATATAAAATTATGAAAACAAAATTGGTAAGACTCATCCCAGAACATTCAAAGAGACTCGTGCAAATGAAGGTCCTTAAAATTTATGCTTTATTTCCTTGTGTAAAATCATTCCTGTTTAGGGGCAGCTGGGTGGCTGAGTCTGTTAAGCATCTGACTTCAGTTGAGGCAATGATGATCTCACAGTTTGTGGGTTCAAGCCCCGCATCAGGCTCCGTGTTGGCTGTGTAGAGCTTGCTGGGATTCTCCCTCTGCCCCTCCCCCGCTCACGCTTTCTCTCAAAAATCAATGTATTAAAAAAATCACTTCTGTTTATAACATCTAAATCAGTTCTAACTATTCATTTTGTCATTAATATTTAAGATATTTTAGCCCATTTATAAAACTTCCTAAAAGAAACACTCTAATATCGAATACTAAAATTTCAAATTATAATGATTAATATGCAATAACTCTAATTTTTTTTTCCATTTCTCAAAACCTTTATCATGGTTTTAAGCCACTGAATTAAAGTAAAAATCTTGAGTATTGCTATCTGTTGTCCAGGATCCTGACTTTGTTTTCATAAATTCTGGAGGATGCTACCTCTTAAATGCAGGTGAAAAACAAAATTTTTCCAAAAAACAGAATCAAAAGAGCCAAAATAGGTACAGGCACTGTAAAGAGAGGAAATTTGCAAAACTTGAAAAAAAGATACATAAATGGGTATAATGCTCATTTATCCAGAAACATCATTCATCCCTCACATAAGAAGCCTAAAAGCTGGGGCACCTGGGTGGCTCAGTCGGTTAAGCATCCGATTTCAGCTCAGGCTATGATCACATAGTTCGTGGGTTCAAGCCCCACGTCGGGCTCTGTGCTGACAGCTAGCTCAGAGCCTGGAGCCTGTTTCAGATTCTGTATCTCCCTCTCTCTCTCTGACCCTGCCCTGCTCACACTGTCTCTCTCTCAGAAATAAATAAAAAACATTAAAGAAAAAAAGAAACCTCAAAGCAAATTACTTTCCTTTCCAGAGTTTAGCACCAGAACAAAGACATGATTCCTAAAGATAATATTTATAAAATACTTCCAGCATCTACCATCATTTTACCTGACAATGTTGTGAAGCCTTCTCAAATCTATGTGGAATTAGGTGGGGATAAATTATTATTCAAAATCCAGTTAATGGCCATTAAGTCCAAGGTAGCCCCTACAGACATCACTACATTAAATACAAGAATGGTCATTTATAATGATTTTATCCTCAAAAATAAGCAATTATTGATGCTCCTGGGTGCTCAGTCTGTTGGGCATCCGACTTCAGCTCAGGTCATGGTCTGTGGGTTTCAGCTCTGTGATGGCTCTGTGCTGACTGCTCATAGCCTGGGGCCTGCTTCAGATTCTGTCTCCCTCTCTCTCTCTGCCCCTCCCCCACTCATGCTCTGTCTCTCTCCATCTCTCAAAAATGAATAAACGTTTAAAAATTTTAAAGAAAGTAATTATTGGGGTGCCTGGATGGCTCAGTTGGTTAAGCATCCAACTCTTGATTTTGGTTCAGGTCATGATCTCAGGACTCATGAAATCAAGCCCCGTGTCAGGCCCTATGCTGACAGCATGGAGTTGACTTGAGATTCTCTCTCTCCCTCTCTCTGCCCCTCCCTCACTCTCTCTAACAAATAAACTTAAAAAAAAAGTAGTTATTTTGTTAAGACTACTCTTCAGAATGCAGAAAAATTTTATAAAACAGTTTAAACTTCTTAAAATTTTAATTCATACAACATTTAGTCATTTGGAAAGTTCATTTACTTAGAATTTTATCTGACAATAAATGAAGTTACTTTATTTGGCTTTGCTTTTCCATCTGCCCATTTCCTAGACTGCAACATCAAACTGAATGGTCAGTATAATATGATGGGGATGAACAGTGGAATCAAGCAAAAATGCTGGGGCAGTTTCTCTTTAACTAAAGCAAGTTAGCTAACACATCTAGCTAGTTAAGTTCTCTGACATACAAACATCAATCAAAATATTTTTTGAACATGTATTATCAAAAGTAACTGCTTACAAAAGAATGTTTACATTCTCACCTCTGGATAACCAAAGTTCTCCCATGTGTATCTCTTGCAGAAAAAGTTCTTGCAATTTTTCATTCTTTGCTGGATCGCACAACTAAAAGATTCATGGAATAGTTAACAATGAGTAATGAATGTAAGGTATAGGGTTATTGATCAAAATTATTTTTTATGGAAAAAAACTATCTTGAACCTAGTCTCGAAGTGCAAGCTATGATAAAATAGTTGTTCTTTTTAATATTTAAAACAACTTCCTAAAATGGAGTTAACACTTTTAGGTGATTAAAAAAAAAAAAAAGGCATACTGAAATTAGGTTGAGATGCTTGTAGTAGCTTTCATGCAAATTTTACCTAGCTTCTAAGTACACACAGCATCAGCCCTACTGGAATTAACTATGACAAACACAGCTTTGTAGGTTGTCAGTGTGTTTTCTTGCCTATGGTACTAACAGTGCTTGTAGATTTGGCAAAGGGCACGGTGAGCGACTGGCACGGCAGCGGGTGGTGGTGTTCAAAAGCACGCAGTGGTTGGGGTCGGCCTGGTTCATAAACGTAACCAGCATCGCAGGACGGCGTCATCACTGGTACCACGCCCAGGGCTGGTCTTTAAATGTAGGTAAAGTGGACAATCCTTGACCCAAAACGTCAACTCCACTGCCAGTCACTTTAGCTCCAGTCTGTCCTATTTCAAGAGTTTGTATGTTTTGTGCTTGCTGCCCTCAAGAATTCTTTTCATTTTTTTTTTAATTTTTTAATGTTTTATTTATTTCTAGGGGAGAGAGAGAGAGAGAGACAGCGTGAGCAGGGGAGGGTCAGAGAGAGAGAGAGAGAGAGAGAGAGAGAGAGACTCTGAAACAGGCTCCAGGCTCTGAGCTGGCAGTCAGCACAGAGCCCGACGCGGGGCTCGAACCCACGAACCGCGAGATCATGACCTAAGCGAAAGTCGGTCGCTTAACCGACTAAGCCACCCAGGCGCCCCAAGAATTCTTTTTAAAGTGGGATGAGCTTCCTTTTCTTTTGTAAGCAGACAACAAAAACTACCCGAATGTAAGCCAGGTGCGGCCGGGCAGGCAGGGGCGCCTCAAAATCCCCGCTCGTGGACCAGGCTGGGTCCCCGACTCCGAGCCCAAGTCTGCATGGCGGGGACGTTACGCACTATAACGCGTCGCTGGGCACGTCACCTGGGCGCCCCGTCCCTCGGTCTTCGGCTGCTGGGCTCTTCTTTCTGCAAATACAACGGGGCACGTGCCACTCGGGAGCCCTCCCGCCGCCCGCGCGCGCCCCGTGGGCCCGCCCGCCCGGCCGCGCCGCCGCCGCCGTCGCACTCACTGTCCCGCAGGCGGCGCCTGAACGCGGGGTCGCCACGCCGCTTCCGGTCGAAGTACACACAGTAGCCGAGGAAGGCGACGGCGCCGCAGGCAGCCAGGGCCGCCAGGAGGCAGAGGACGGTGCGGACGCACGGCATCCGGCCGCGGGCGTCCAGGCGCCGAGCGTTGGGCGCGCGCCGCCGAGCGCGGGGAGCCGGCCGGCAGGGGGCGTCGGCGCGGCACCCATCCCCGCCTCGGGGCTTCCTGTGCGCCCGGCCGCAGGCTTGCGGAGCGGCGCGTCGACGCCTCGCCCCCGACGGGCGGAGCGAGGAGGAAACCGAGGGTCCGAGAGGACAAGTGTGCGACGACGTCTCGTGGCTGCCGAGGAGCAGAGGTCTGCGGGAAGCAGGTCTGTCGCACTCCGAATTCTGAACCCCTTCCCCAAACGCGCTCCTGCCTCCGTGCCGACGACACCCGTTCAGGCAAGTCGCTGTGTGTCGGGAATCTGGGTGGCTGGAACGGGATCCTCCGTTAGGTCCCTGTTCCCGCACCTGCGAATTCAAGTTGACTCAGTTGGGTCAACGCCTAGTGCGCAGCACTGCCCGCGGAGCATCTGAACACTGCTAGCCCGTGCTCCCAACCTGGTGTGCCTTATCACCTCAAAAGGAACCCAGCCATCCAAAGCCCCCGGCCACCTTAGCTCCATAGTGGGAGGAAAGAGGAGTTTGGAAGCAATAATGTCAGTCCAGGAGATAAAAATGTGAATTTTCTGGGCTAGGCACGACAAAGGTCCCAAAGCAAAATCAACTCTGAAAGACCCATGATACTAACCTAGGTGTGTTTCCTTCTAATACTTGTTTTATTCAGACACAGCAGGAAAAAATGGAGATAAGACTAACCCCAAATACAGAGCTTTGATTTTTCTACTACGCCAAAGAGAAGGCATAAGCCCAAGAGAAGTCCTAAAGAACTAAAGGACCCAAACAACTAAATTATGTATTTTTTTTTGTTAGGCTGTTCAACTGTTGCTTAAAACTTACTTATTTGTGTACGCTCATCACTGCATGACTGCCCTCGGGACCAGAACCCTCACAATTTAAGAGTTAGCAGGTGTAGGTCACACATAATTATTTTGTTGAGAATAGTATGTCCCTTCCTCAGTCTTCTATTTGGGAACTTGGGCTGGTGTCAAAATGTGATTGTAATCAAACAGGACAGGATGACACCAGCATCCAGTGTTACTGGTGAACTGGGAATGGTTTCAGGTTTGCAGTCTTGGAGATGGGTTGAACTCCGCTCCAAACGATCTTTTTCTAGGCTGGCTGCTCTGCTCTTCGCCAACATCAAGCTAGTAGTAATATCCATCATCTCAAAAGTTTCCTCAGCTCCTCCCCCCTTTTTTTTAAATGTTTATTTTTGAGAGAGACAGAGCGTGAGCAGGGGAGGGGCAGAGAGAGAGGGAGACACAGAATCTGAAGCAGGCTCCAGGCTCTGAGCTGTCAGTACAGAGCCCGAGGCGGGGCTCAAACCCACGAACCATGAGATCATGACCTGAGCCAAAGTCAGAGGCTTAACCGACTGAGCCACCCAGGTGCCCCTCCTCAGCTCCCTTTTTAATCTGTTCTTCTGCCCTTTGTTTCCCACTTGCCCCGCCACCTCCTGCTTTTTGTCACTGTGGATTAGTTTGCATTATCTAGATTATTATGTAAATGGATCATACAATATATACTCTATTGTCTGCCTTCTGTCACTCAGCATAATTATTATGCGATACATCTGTGTTCTTTTGCCAATGCTTCAGTTTTATTGGTAAGTACTATTCCATTTTATGGATATATCATAGTTGGTTTAGCCATTCATAACCATTCAGCTGTTGATGAACATTTGGATGGTTTCCATTGTTTGGCAATTACTGCTATAAATATTTGTATACAAGTCTTTATATGAATGTGTATCTCCTGTTCTCTTAAGTAGATACCTATATGTGAAATGGCTAGGTCACATGGTAGGAGTATGTTTAATTTTTAAAGAAACTGCCAGGGGCGCCTGGGTGGCTCAGTCAGTTGAGCATCCGACTTCAGCTCAGGTCACGATCTCACAGTTCATGGGTTCAAGCCCCACGTTGGGCTCTGTGCTGACAGCTCAGAGCCTGGAGCCTGCTTCAGATTCTGTGTCTTTCTCTGCCCCTCCCCTGCTCATGCTCTGTTTCTCAAAAATAAATAAACATTAAAAACATTTTTTTAAAAAGAAACTGTCAAACATTTTCCCAAAATGGTTAGACCATTTTGTATTTCCACCAAAAGTATATGAGACTTCTAGTTACCTCATATCAGCACCCACATTTGGTTGGCCAGCCTTGTTCATTTTAGGTTTGTGGTCGGTTCTCACTGTGGTTTTATCTTGCATTTCCCTAGTGTCTAATGATACCAAATACCTTTTTAAAAATTGGACTTAGCCTGGGGTGCCTGGGTGGCTCAGTCCGTTAAGCCTCCAACTTCAGCTCAGGTCATGATCTCACGGTTTGTGGGTTCGAGCCCCGCATCAGGCTCTGTGCTGACAGCTAGCTCAGAGCCTGGAACCTGTTTCAGATTCTGTAACTCCCTCTCTCTCTGTCCGTCCCCTGCTCAAGCTCTCTCTCTCAGAAATAAATAAAACATTAAAAAAAATTTTTTTTAAAGAATAGACTATTAAAAGAATAAAGACAAGAAACAGCTTGGGAGAAAATGTTTTGAAAGCATATATCAGATAAAGGATTTGTATCCAGAATATATAAAGAACTCTCAAACTCAACAATAAAAAAAAAAAAAAATGCAGGGGCACCTGGGTGGCTCAGTCAGTTAAGCATCTAACTTTGGCTCAGGTCATGATATGGTTCGTGAGTTTGATCCCCATGTCGGGCTCTGTGCTGACAGCTCAGAGCCTGGAGCCTGCTTCAGATTCTGTGTCTCCCTTCTCTGCCCCTCCCCACTCGCACTCTGTCTCTCTGTCTAATAATAATAGTAAATATTTAAAAAATTTAAAAACCACTAAAGCAATGCAAGGGGTGTCCAGGTGGCTCAGTTAGTTAAGCATCTGAGTCTTGATCTCAGCTCAGGTCATGATCTCACGTTTTCTAAGTTTGAGCCCCATGTCAGGTACAACACTGATAGTGTGGAGCCTTCTTGGGATTCTCTCTCTCTCTACCCCTCCCCTGTTTGTGCACTTTCTCTCTCTTAAAATAAATGAAGTTTAAAAATGCAATTAAAAGGAACAGACTAAAGATCTGAATATCTGAATATACACTTGATCAAAGATGAATGGCCAGTAAAGCACATGTAAATGATGTTCATAAAGAGAAGGAGGAGATAAGCCACAAACTATTTGTAGAACATGTATCTGATAAAGGACTGTTTTAATACATTCGACATGCTATAACAAAAATGCCACAAATTTGGTGGCTTATTTACGTTTCTTTCTCACAGTTCTGGAGGCCGGAAAGTCCAGTAAAGGTGCCAGCATGGTTGGGTGGGGGCCTTTTAGGGGTGGAGGAGGCCAGGTTGCTCTGTGGAGCCGCTTTTATAAGGGCACTAATCTCATTCATGAGGGTGCCACTCTCATGATATAATCACCTCTCAAAACCCTCACCTCCTACTACCATCATTAGAGATTAGAATTTTAACAACATGAATTTCAGGGGTACACAAACATTCAGATCAAGGCAGATTATTATCCAAAATAAAAAAGTCTCCTAAAATTCAACAATAAGAAAAACAACCGGATTAAAAAATGGGCCAAAGACCTTAACAGACACTTCACCAAAGATGTACAGATGGCCAAAAAAAAAAAAGTACAGATGGCTAAGAAGCACATGACAAGATGCTCCACATCATATATTAACAGGGAAACGCAAATTAAAACAACAATTTGATATATCTACACTCTGAGTATACAAAAATTCAAAATACCAACAATAGCAAATGCTGCCAAGAATGTGAAACAACAGAAATTTTCATTTGTTGCTGGTGGGAATGCAAAAATGATACAGCCACTTTGGAAGACAGTCTGGCAGCCTCTAGTTCCTTACAAAACTACAGATACTCTTACCATATAACCTGGCAGTCATGCTCCTTAGTGTATTTACTAAAGTAAGTTGAAAACTAAGGAGTTGAAAATCTGCACACAGTTTTTGATAGGCGCTCTATTCATAATCGCCAAAACTTGGAAGCCACCAAGATGCCCTTTAGTAGGTGAACGAAAAATCTTGGCAAGTCCAGACAGTGGGAGATCGTTTAGAGCTCGAAATTAGCTATCAAGCCATGAAAAGACATGAAGGAAGTTTAAATGCGTGTTACTAAGTGAAAGAAGTCCATCTGAAATGGCTGCACATTGTATGATCCCAAGTATATGATACTCTGGAAAAGGTAACATTACGGATAGAATAAAAAGATCAGTAGTTGCCATGGGTTGGGGAGGGGAGTGGAGGGATGGACAGGTGGAGCACAGAGGATTTTAGGGCACTGAAACTATTCTGCATGTTATTATGATGATGGATACATATTACTGTACATTTGTCAAAACACACATTTGTACAAGTGTGTACCTTAGTGTAAATATAAGCTTTAGGTGACAATGATGTGTGAATGTAGGTTTATCAGTTATAACAAATGGAGTACTCTGGTGTTGGATGTCAATACTGGGGGGGTGGTGCGTGTGTTGGATCGGGGAGTATATGCAAACTCTCTGTACTTTCCACTCAATTTTTCTGCGAATCTAAAAATTCTCTAAAAAAATAAAGTCTAAGTCTAATTAAAAAAAATTTATTTTCAATCTTTTTTTTTTTTTTTCCTAGGAGAGAGAGAGAGACAGCGTGAGCAGGGGAGGGTCAGAGAGAGAGGGAGTCACAGACTGAAACAGGCTCCAGGCTCTGAGCTGGCAGTCAGCACAGAGCCCGACGCGGGGCTCGAACCCACGAATCGCGAGATCATGACCTAAGCGAAAGTCGGACGCTTAACTGACAAAGCCACCCAGGCGCCCCATAAAAAAATTTTTTTAAGAGTCGGATGTTTAACCGACTGAGCCACCCAGGCGCCCCTTAATAGCCTATTGTTTAATAGGCTCTAAAAGAGCCAGAGTTTTTCATTTTGATGAAATACATTTATCAATTTGTTCCTTTTGTGGATTGTG